GGGCAAATTCAGGAAATATTTAAAGAGGGTGTGATTAACAAAACTTGGAAAAGGACTAGATATGAGGGATGAAGGAGAGATGGATGCCTCCCACGTCTCTAGTTTGCTGCCTAGGAAAGGTTGTAGAGGTGGTGTTTCCTAGGATATGAAACACCAGGTCTGAATGTCAGATGACGTATTCAGTTTTAACATAGTGGAGTTTGTGGAAGGGGTTCAGGTGAGATCACTGAGTAAGCAATTGAATCTTCTGGTCTGCTGCTCAATAGAGAAACCTGGGCTGGAGGCAAAGGACCTCAGAACCCAAGTCAGCTCAACCAGGGCTCCAAAACTTAAGTAACCTGAATACACAACACTGAGAGAATGGGTAACCCCAAGTGGCAAGGTAAGTTTCAAAAACATTCAAACTAACTATAGGATCAATTTGTTCAGCTCCTCTCTGGAATACTGAGATGTTTTATTTTCTTTTAGTTCAGGAGTTTAAATACACACACACACACACACACACACACACACACACACACACGGCAAAGGGAATACTGCAGCTCAGTGAAAAGAGCCCTGAAGTGTTCGGTCCTCACTCTCTCATCCTGTCGCTGCGGTTGAGTTTGAACAAGCAGATGACCCTCTGTTTCTTGTTTCCTCTGGGCAGGGAACTCTGCATCAGCAATGACTTTCTCTCAGCATGTTAAGGCTGTTTTCAAGCTTCTATCTCTTCTGTTTTGGGTCCTAGCTGGAAGCCTGGGATGTAATCTGGTTCCCAGCTCTCTCATGAACATAGAGTTCAGTTTCTGTCACCGAAGAGACCACAAGGCTGCAGGAAGCCCCACCAGGTTCCCCCTCTCCTCTTGTCTCCTTTTGGATTGGCGTCTAATTGTAAAATGAGGGAGATGGACTCTTGGCTCATGCATCCATTCATCTAATTTTTATAAAATATGTGCCAGGCACTGTTGTCAATGAAATAGCCCAAATCCTTGTTGTCCTTTTATGATTTCTCGATAAGATTTTTGTGAGTTCATCTAGTGTTTGTTTCTTTTCTTCTTAGCAACATCTGTGTGTTGGTCTCAGAGTTTAGGGAACAAAAATGAATACTTAGACCTATGATTCAGCAAATTACTTCAGTGCTTCATGATTTTTTTTCCCCCCTCAAGGTCAGGTTCGAGAGCCATCTCTTATGTTCATTTAACATGGTTATTTTGTGTTCTGTTTTTCTGAATTTGCCTTTCTAATTAAGTTTCACCCAGAAAAATGACAAAATAAGTTTGCCCCCCCTCACTTACTCTCAGGAGGGGAAGGGGCTAGTACAATATTCTAAGCCTGCTGGGGGTGGGGAAAAGGGATTGCAGCTGGTAGCTGAGAAAATGAATCATGCATACATAAATAATAGAGAGCAGACCACCCTGGAGCTGGGAGGCTCAGATTGCAGTTTTTAAACATATACATATGTTAGGGAGAGTCCAGCATTTCTGTAAAAAACAAAGAAATAACCTTTAACCCTGGGGTTGCCAGCAGTGGTGTGGAAGCATGCATGGGACAATCTCCTCTTTTTATATCTTAGTTTGATATTTTGTACTATATTAATCAACACAAATTTATTCTAGATAATTTTTATTGTCACCTTTATTTTTGTGTACTTTCCCAAATTTTTACAAGGAATGGGCACTCCTTTTATAATCAGAGACACAAAATCCATGGTAAATGGAATTTTAAAATATATTTGTAACCTAGATACTGTAGTGGACACAAAATGCTTTGTGCAGATGTATAATTCCATTGTAAGGTAGGATGGCAGGCAGCACAGACTTTGGAACTTAGAGCCTGGCCCAAATAAAGCACCCCACTCCCTCCCCCAGAGGGCTCCCTGATATTGTTGTCACCCCTTCTCTGTCCTAGACTACTGGTCTCCTCCCATAGTGAAGGCCGGTTAATGGTGAGGACAGAAGCCCATTGTTTCTCTAAGTCTACCACACACATCAAAGGAGGCTGTGTAAACATTTGCTCAGTTTTTGCTCAACAGATCGAGACTGAATTGAAGATGGGCCCTCTTCCTATCTGCCTTCTGCCTAGGGAGGGACTGCTTGTGTAAAATGCATATGCATGACTTGGGACTATTTTTATAAGATGGGTGGGTTCACCTTCCAATAAATTTTGAGAGTTTCCCTGGGGCCAAGATGTATATGTGGAAAGGACAAAGGAGCAGGCTGGGAATAGAAGGGGAGACCATGGTTCTGAGCCAAAGACACTGTACTTTTTCATTTCTGCAGTTTTACAGCCATCAATGGGCCTGCGTGCTCCTCCATCAAATCAATAATGATGCAGGAACCAATGTCTCAGGCATGAAGTTATGGGCTGGGATCACTCGGGACTCTCCTGCTTGCAAGTGACAGAAAAACCAGTTCTAATTTGTTTGGGGGGAAAGCAGGTTTATTGGACATGTAATTGAAAAACCCAGGCCCTGCGCTCCCTTTGCTGCCCATCTCTTGACTTCCCTTCGGGTCAGCTACAATCTGACACAGCGCCCCAGGAGCCGGCCAGATGGCCACTGGCTGCGTCCTACCTCCTCAGCAACCACAAGGGAAAGAGGTTTGATGGGGGGAATGGTCTTAAGATGCTTCCCATACATATTTTCCCTGTACATACCTCTTCTTTCCCTTTTCTTATAGCAGCTTCCTCTTTTATGGCTCAGCCATGAGGTATTATTGCCCCGAGAGGCAGGGCATGGTGAGGGTGGGTACCACTCAGAACCCAAAGCCCACAGGGAGGTGGAAGAGGACAACCTTCTCCAGAGTAGAAGGAAGCATAGAAGCTGCCAGGGAATAGGGATGGTGAGGAAAGAGACTGCTGAAGAGAATGACTCTAGGGAGAGTATGCCAGGTTCCCTGAGGAGCCGGAGGCCACCTCTGTGCCAGGTCTTGACCTAGGGAGGGATATGGGACAAAGACAGACATGCCAGGTAGGTTGAGGAGGAAGCTAAAAGCGGAGAGCACCTGTGCTCCACTTCCTGTTTGGAACTCTGCCCCAGGATCCCCTGTGCCAACACAGCAAAGTGAAGTGGCGGTGTGGCCTATTTTGTGTGGAAATGGTTCCAGATGGTGTCCTTGAGTCACCTTTAGTCCCCTTGTGACAGAGAAGGGATCCAGGAGCAGCCACATGGTCCCTATGGGGGAAAAGAAGGTAGCTGAGAGAGGGGGAACCACTCGCTAAGGGGTCACAGGGGTTGGGTGAGTAGGATGGACAGGTAACTCCATCCTGCCAATCAGAATCAGGCCCAAGGCTTTTTGGGATGGCTGGCAAAGAGCAGCTGTTTTTCTGCTGGGCTTGTTGCTGTGAGGTTGTGAACCTGGGTCGGCTGGGGTCTCATGCGGGGCCTGAGAGTGTAGTTCATATGGAAGGAAGAAAGCTCAGATGTGGATGAGCCCCTAAAGTCTTTAGTCCCTGGAACTAAATCCTGGGCTCTTCATTCACATGAGTCAATCAACTCCTTTTTTGTTAAAGTAAGTGGAGTTGGGTTGTCTGTCATTTACAGTTGACTAATCCCTGCAGGGAAGAGGGAGGCAGCACCAGTAAGAGGTGGGGCCTGGAATTAGTGGGAGGACCACCAGGAGGAGCCTGGAAAGGGAAGAATTGTTGGGCATGGTGGTCTGGACTGAGAGCCACGTGGGAAAGTCTGGGTGATGTTAAAGGGGACAGTGACTTTGTGCTGGGAGATACATGGTTCACTGGAAGGGGTTGTGTCAGTAGTCAGGGCAGGAAGGGGCTGAGGACAGTGTAACATCACAGGAATGAGGTGAGAAGGGCAGGTTTGTTGGGTTTGGAAGCAAACACGGACTGGACATTGAGCCTTCAGGTGAGGAAGACATCCCAGGGGCTGGGGAATGGTAAGATTACAGGGTAGATGGGTTTGGGAGCTGAGAATAGATAGAATTTGGTAAAATAAGTGCTGATTTGAGATGGGAAGTTCGAAGCAGAAAACCAGAGAGTAGGTAGAAATAAGGGTTAAAATATGTGGGTGTAGAACCTGGATTTGGGAGCCATGAACACAGGAGTGAAATTAGAGGCCAAAAAGCTCCCCCAGAAAGTGTGCCTAGAAGGAAAAAAATTAGTAATACTGGTGTCTGTTTTGCTCAAGGCCACATGAGGCACGTAAGGGTCACTCTAGACTTCTGACACCTAAGGCCTAAATTTGAAAGAAGTGACCCACAGATATGGTATCAAATCAAGTTAAACTCTCAGATGCCTGAGTTATAGAAATAGGTCAAATGCTGTATCAATCTTCAGCAGCCTCCGAGGAAGCCGCGGGGCAGAGAGGCAGGCTTTGAGGACAGCTACCTCCCCCCTGCTGCCCCTCCGGGGAGCCTGAAGCCCATCCCAAAACAGAGTGGCAGCCAGGTCTCCAAGGGGCCGGATGTGGTCGGCACCGGAAGAGAAGCGTGGGGTAGGTGAAGGGAGCATGGGGGACATGGTGGCGACAATCGTGGCAGATTGGGTCGACGCGGCAGCAGTCACCCAGCGCTGGCAGACCCCAAACATACGAGCCCAGCCCAGCACGGTGATCAAGGCGGCGCCAGGCCACGCACACGGCCCAAACCCACCCACACTGGGAACCCAAGCCGGGCCGGGTTTGCGTACCCCGGCCTAGGCGTGTGTCGGAGTAATCCCTGATCCAAGTCCCGCGTTGTGTAGCTCGCCGGAGCCCTCCATGCAATGAGGCCGTGTTCCCCGCTCAGCCGCCCGTTACCGTAACTTTCGCCCGCCCGAAGCTCCGCAGACTGGCCGGTCTTTGGAGGCTGAGTTTGGCATCAAAGAGTCAAGAGTCGTCCTCGCAACCCCTTCTAAGCCCTTCTTCCCAGTCCGGCCGCGGCACCTCAACGCCTCGGGGGAGGAGCTCAAGGGCGCCCAGCGTGGGGCGGGCTGAGCGCGGCGAGGTCTGCAGGGGGCGCTGTGGGCTGTCGCTGTCGCGCTGTCCCGCGGTCTGTGCTCGAGGTTCTCACCTCCCTTAGCGCCAGGCGGAGCAGACAGCAGCAGAGCCACGGAGCCGGGACCGGCTGGGACCATGGGCGGTGAGGCACTGCGCCGCCTGGGGCTGGGCTGGTCGCCGTGGAGGCTGAGCGGCGTGGAGGCTCGAGGCGGGCGGGCGGGCGGGCGGGCGTCCCAGGGTCCGGGGTTGTGAGACCGAGGGGGTACTCTGGACGCGCTGAGGCCGGGACGACCCAGCAGATCTCCTGTGGGAGAGGGATGGGACGTTGGGACGGGCTTCTGCCGGGTGTGAACCCCGCGCCTAAGCCCCCTCCCCCATCCCTGCGCCTTCGCCAAACTCGCTCCCTCTCCCTAAGCCACCTCCTTCCCCCAGCCACCTCCGCGCCCTTGTCCCAGCCCTCGCCCCCTCTCCAAGTTCCAGCGCCCTCTAACCCTGCCTGCGATTCTGCCGCCCTCTCACCAAGCCGTCGCCCCCTACCTCCCGGCGGGCGCCTGGTCCACCTCACTATCTTCTGCTTCCCCCCTCCAGTCCCACGCCTCTCCGGCCTCTCCAGCCTCCACCCAAATCCCCGCCCTTCCGACCCTCTCCTGCTCGGCCCCCGCACTCCTGCCGCTGGATTCTGGCCCCAGCTCGAGCGCCTCGGTTCCCTCTTCCCGGGCAGTTCCGAACCCGTTCGTCTCCAGGTAAGAAGGCAGCGACAACTTCTCCGCGGCCTTTCTGAGCGTGGGGCTGGCTCCTCTGGGCGACCACCTGCACCTGGCGCCTGGGGGCGTCCTGAGGCCCCGCGCAGGGGTCACTTCGTGCGCGCTGACTTGCCTGGAAGCTCAGGTTAGGACTGCGTGGTTTCCGGCTCCACGGTGTTGCTTTCGCTTGTGAACTTGAATATGTCGCGGTCCTTCAAAGAAGCCGGCTTTGTTACACACAACATTGCAGCTGCTTAGAGCAGGTTGCTTTCCTTGTGGCTGCAGGGGTCTTTCAGGTTGTACCTGTGGATGGTTATAGGATTAGCGGTGTGGCGGGCGTGGAGCCATATTTTCCCCGCCTCGGCTCAGCGTTAAGCTGCAGCGAAAGACTGAGGCTACCTCCGCCTGGGGGTCCAGGGTCTTCATGCAAAGGCAAGGATGCTTTGTAAGCATTCAAAAAGTGCAGTCAAGAGAGGTGTGGAATCAGATCGGTTCGAAGGGAGAGGTGTGAGGAGGGTGGCCAAGGGGGCCTCAAGAGGGCTTCTCAAGTTGCGGACATTTGTTGCTCTTCGAAGAAGGCCCTTGATGAACTCTACTGTGGAGCAGACAGTGCCCAGCCCAGCCTTGCAACGTGACGTGACTGCAGACGGGGCTTGGCAACAACTCCTCCTCAGAGGTGTTGGTGCCCCATCTGGACTTCTGTGGGAAGAGAGTTTAAAGCGGATGATGATTTGACAAACCTCGTGTTCCCTGGAGAGAGATGCAGATACATGGTTACAGCCTGAAAGCCAGGGCGTGAATCTGCCCCCTCCCTTTTCCTGACTTGCATTAAGGCTTGGGTTAAATTAATTGCCTGTTGCGGAGAAATGACATGTAGGGGGTACATCTCTTTTAGGGACTGGCTTCGGGCCAGCCCACCCTCACCGATCCGTGGGAGGCTGCTTTTGGGCACCAGGGACAGGGTAAACCCCCTGGGCCCTGGAGCATAGCTCTCTAAGCATTTATGAAACTGCAGTATCAGTAACTCTTTTTTTTATTATTATTGATTGGCTTGGATAGTAATTAGCGCAATACTCCTTCACCCTCAAATGGTGAATTCATAAGTAAGTAGCTCCAGGTCACACAGGAGCTCAGAAGACTCCCTCTGAGTGTCCACAGATTCCCGTGGGCATCTCCTCAGCACCCACCACTCCCCTCTGTGATGAGTTGTTGACTCTTGGATGCCCCACTGGCCAGGGACAGGGTTAAACTTTCTCTGTGGGCCCAGACCCCAGCCTGGCACCCTCTAAGTGGTAGGTACTCAGTGTTTGTCTAAAGAAATGGATTCTCCTCTTGAATCCAGTGTCTGAGTCTATAATCCATGTTTTTCCATTGTACTGCACGGTTTTCAAAATGTTACCCTTAAATTAATCAAATTTTAAATATATACAGATATATATAATCTCACTAGAGACAAACTCATTTCTGCTTGTATTTGGGGCAGAGAGCTCAACTTACAGGTTAGGCTCTGAGAGCTGGGTCTCTAACCTCAATGACTTTCCAGGAAGGAAATTAGTTGTCCTTATTCCAGAATTGGGGTTAGAGCTTGATGGGCCCTCTGGGGAGCTAAGGATGTTTGCTGAGAGGGGAGTCCTCCACAGCTTAACCGATAGAGCCCTGAGCTGTGGCCACAGCAGCCCCCTGCTTCCCGCATCTTTGTCCATGAAAGAGGACACATTTGGAGACCTGTCACACCTGTGTAGTCCCCCCCCCCCCCCAACCCCGGCTGCTCCAGGTTGCACCGTCTTCACTCCAGTGGTTGCTGCCCACCCCAACAACTGCTTCTCGTGCAGAGCTGGGAGTGCCCCTTCTTGCACGTTTCTGGTAATATGGTTCGCCGCTCTGCTGGAGGGAGGAGTCAGGTGTTTGGGGATGGCCTTTCTGCCAGAGGTGGCCGTGAGCCACTGGCAGATGGAGCCAAGTGCCGTCTGCTGCCCCCTGTCAAAGGTCAGCCCTGGACAACACAGCCGGAGGCTGAAGGGCTGGGAGCACCTTGTGCTCCTTTTTTTCAGGAGTCCAGGGAGAGCTGGGATTCAAAATGTCACTTGGATGCAGAAACCTGCACTGCCCACAGGTTCATGGCTGTTCTGGGCTTGTCATTCTTACGCAGACTGTCTCTGTTTTCAGGTCTGGCTCTTACCCAGGCTTCCTGCAGCTGGTGAGAATCTGTTTTCTAGAAGAGTTTTAATTAATGCCTGCAGCTTGTGAGTGGGAAAGGGAGGGAGGGGCTGAAACTGAGTCTGCTCTCTGGAGGTGGGTCGGCAAAGATGGGAGAACACCCACGGTCCTAGAAAGTCAGAGGGGAAGACTTCAACCCTGGAACAAGGTTCTTGGTTGGTGGATTAGGACTTGTGCCCACGTGCTGGTGTAGAGGCTATCGTAAGAGCAAAATCACCAAGGTAGGAAAAATGGCCCTGCAGCCACCAGCAATAAGTTCTGCTGGGCCCACCCTTTGGGTTTCTAGAAGGTTTTGAAAGCCCGCTGAGAGTTGAGCTTAGCAAGGTGGGAGATCACTGAGCCATTTTAAGTTTTTGAATGAGGTTTGTGCCTCTTTGGATATGATGGCTTGAGCGACATTGGTCTGGGGAGCCACCTGACACCTAAGATGCTGAAGGGAGAGGCCAGGGAGTGGCAAAGGAAGAGGCAGCCAGGAGGGTCTGTGCAGCAGCACTTAGCCGGTAAAGAAGAGGCTCCAGCTGCCTTCTACTAGGGCTGTGGGCATTTTGACAGTAGCGGCCTCCCAGGGCTCCTTCTTGAATCTGCTGGGCAGACTTGCAGATGAGTTAGGGCCTGGAGATTCTGCAAGGCAGCTCTGAGAAGTCACCTGTGAACAGGAATGAATTGCACAGTCTGCTCTGAGTCCAAAAGGCAGGTGGCCAGGGTGGCCTAATAAGCCACAGACTCCGGCCTGCTAGCCTCTACCTCCAGGCCCAGCAGGCTGCTCTGAATGCTAGGGCCGTGCTTGGGGAAGCCACTGGCTTTTATAAAGGAACAGGCCAGTCAGCTTCCTTCCAGAGCGTGGAGGAAGTTAATGATTGAAAAGGCACTGAGAAAAGACATTGGAGGAACCTTGTGGAGTCGTTCCTGCAGCCCAGAAGCCACCCGCACCTGTATCCTCTTGGCTGGGTCACCTGTGCATCCCTCTGTCCCTCCCTCCCTCTCTTTCCCCTTCTCCCCCAACCCTATGCCCCTGCACTTAGCACATCAGTGGAGCCACCTCCGTGCTGGTGCTCAGGTAAGGGAGCGTTTGGGCAGCTCAAACATCTACTGGTAGCAACTGCAGGAACCTGAAAATTCTGTTTGTTTTCATAGTCACTTCCCTAACTTATCCATTCATGTAAGGCATCCCTCTGTCATCTGCTTACCGCTCTCTGTGCCTCTGTGTCTAACCGACTTCCTTAGAGGGAGCTATAATCAATAGCAGAGAAACCAGAAGTTTAAAAATGAGGCTGAGTTGAAAATTATTGCACCTAGTTTTCATACCCCCAACCCTCCCCTCTTCTCCACTGCTGTGTGTGGTTAGAGTTATCATTTATATCAAATTTATGAATAGTTTGAATACCATTTGTTCTCCCCCTCAATTATATGGAGACATATCTTTCCAAACAACAGAACCACAGCTGACATTTTTAAAAAAGTTTTTAGAGATAGGGGAAGGGAGAGAGAAGGAGAGGGAGAGGAACATCAATGTGTGAGAGAAACATCGATTGCCCTGACTGGGAACCAAACCAGTGACCCTTTGGGTTCACAGGTCGATACTCAGTCCACTGAGCCACACCAGCCAGGGCCAGCTGACTTTTTTAGACCTACTTCATTCTTGGATTCAGCCCCAAACTTCACGCCTTCAGAGCTATAGCAATATCATTTTGAGCTTTTTAATTATAAAATAAAATGAAGCTCTTGCTTGCTAATTTTGTCACTTGCTAATATGGGGAATCTAAAGTTAGACTAAAACATTTATTGCCTCATTAACCTTTTATGCTTCTAAAGTGAACAAAGCAGTTGGATTAAGGTAGAGAAAAGTATTAAAGTTATAGTAGAAATGTATGGAAAGTTAGAGGTAATAATGAAGGTAGACAGTCTTGCAGAAATAAATTGTTAAGCTTTACACGGTTACTAAAATGTGCAGAGATAAATAGGAACTTTTATGGAAGTATAGACATGTATAGAATTTTGATCATTATAGATTGATGAATATAGAAATTTTGACCTGTCATTGTAATGCAATTCATATAAATATACTAATTATTATGGTCATCCATTATGTTTATATAATACCTTATCATATAAATAAGCAACCATGTCCATGACCTTGTTCAATTCTTCCAGCAAGTCTGCGACCTTCTTAGAGATGAGGAAA